ACATACAAAACAGCTTTGATAGACTTTTCCTGCACTAACAAAAGCCCAGAAAATTAATTTTAAAGATGTGAGGTTAGTAGCATTCTGATGGATTTACAAAAAAATATTCTATAAAATAGTTTCTGCCCCTTTAAAGCAGAGGTCCCCAACCTTTTGGGCACCAGGGACCGGTTCCGTGGAGGTTTTCCCATGGACCGGAGAGTGTGTGGTTTTGTGTGCTGCCTGCATTCCGCAGATGGGTCTTTGCTTGTTTGTGTGGATGGGTTGCTGGCATGCCACGGCCCAGTACCGGTCCACGGCCTGGGGGTTGGGGACCCCTGCTTTAAAGCATACGGTTTGTATATTTACTCCGAATAATACTCAGCTGAAAGTACAATCCCTTCCCCCACCTGCAAAATCCTAAAAATATCCTAATTTAATTGAGGATAAAAATATATCATTAGGTGTGCATCATTTGCACTATTAGCACTACCGGCTTTCTTTACACCTCCGAAATTAAGAGGCTGAAGGCAGCCTTTTCCTAACCTGGGCTTTCCAGATGTGAAAAAATAAAAACTCACTCCAATGATCCCTGGCTGGGTATTCTGGCCCTAACCTACCCAGAAAATATCAGGTGAGAGCAGTCTGTCTTAAGAGTTTGCTAATTTGAAGGAGGAAGGAAGACAGAAAGTTAGAATAAAACATTTAGAAGAAGTAAGTTTCTTTCTTTAAATATGCCAGTTACAGTCAAAACACTCATCTGTTAATGTGCAAACATTTGAACCATAGAAAAGGTGAATTATAGAAAACAATCTGCACAAATGCAATCAAGCAGCCAGCCAAAGAACTGATAGAAGATACTAACAGAACTAAAAGACACTATAATAGCATTGCAGTGGAATGTGTGAATACTTTCCCATGTTTTCACATGAATTATTTTCTCCAGAATTGGTAGCATTTACTCAATCTAGAAGTCTGGGGAATCCACAGAATGTTCGTGCCATAACATTTCATTCCAAGGCCCTGGCTTTATAACTTCCCTTTCTTAGAGACAAGGCAAAAGTCTACGAGGATTCATCCAATCTTACAGGATACTAGCAAAACGTTGTTGCCATGCCTGGCATACAGCAGCCAGCTCCTGCATTTGTTGACTACACGTCCACTATTCCTGACTTTTCATCCATGAAGTCATCTCAAACAAAATTAGAATTTCAGCAGCCAGTTGTCAAAGACAGCAAAAACTGAATTCTTTCCTCATCTCAGCTAATTCTTCTAACCTCTGAAGCTATTCTTTTGTCACTAAAGCCAATGAAGCATCCACAAATAAAAACAGAGCATTTTTGCTCGGAACTATTAAGGTTGGCATACTAGCACCTCACTGGCACTAAGAGTCTGTGGAAGGAGAATTCTTCCTGATTTCCAAAGTGCCATTTTGGAATTTTAAGAGACAGACACATAAGGAGACAAGAGGATGAAAGAATGCTGGTTCTAGTTTTTTTTTAATGGCGTCAATCAACACAGCCTTGTACAAAGGTGCACCTGTTAGGTTGATGGCAGGAACAAAACAGATGGAGAATACAGGTAGTCTTCAACATACAATCATTCATTTAGCAACCGTTCAAAGTTACAACCATGCTGAAAAAAAATGATGACCAGTCCTCACACGTATGACCATTGCAGCATCCATGTAGTAACATGATTGTGATTCAGATGCTTGGCAATGTTTATGAAGGTTGCATTAAAGGTAATACTGTAATACTGTAACCATTACAGTTCTGAATCATCTGGGATCAATCTATTTTCTGGACTAGGTTTACCACTAAGTCCCTGCTGAACTTTTAGACTGGTGATGATGTTCTCTGGTGCATCATTTTTAAGATTAGAGTGATGGGCATGAAGGAAAAGGTCTTCTTGGGATGATTCCATAGCTGGAGAAGTGAAAGAATTGCCTGGGAATAAAGCAAGGGCTTTTTTCCTTAAAAAAAAGATGCTTCGGTTCTTATACTTTTGCTAGGGAAACTGCCTTGGACTCTGTTTCGATATGGTGGCTCTGAATAACTCATAAATCCTAACAAACAAGAGAGACAGTTTGTTCCACAGCTTAAGAAAAACAGCACTAGTTTTTCCCAGATGCAGAGTCCGCTCACAGCCCCGATCCCAACAGCTTCAACCAAGAACAAAAATCTCATTGCTTGAGGTTCTGAAGTAGGGGATGAGGGAATCTTTTTCTAAATAAGCCACCGAACCAAGGGAAAAGAAAGATAACCGAGGACCCGTGCATATAAGGAGGATACGGCCCCAAAAGTGTGAATTGGGCCAGCTGACAGAAAATCTGATCAAAGGCCTCCCTACAACATGGGGGTCAGACCAATTCCCAGCTGACCACTTTCGAAGCTCCTTTTATGTGGAAGGCTGGGGTCACTGAATCAAGGAAGAGAGCACGGAAAGGATGGTGCGTGCTTCTGACGGGCTGACAGCTAAATTCATGCTTTGAAACACACACCTTTCTGAGGAAAGATGGAGAAGAAGGGATCCCTATGAGCAGGGGTCTTCAAACTTGGCCCTTTTATGACTTGTGGACTTCAACTCCCAGAATTCCTCAGCCAGCGTGCCTGGCTGAGGAATTCTGGGAGTTGAAGTCCACAAGTCATAAAAGGGCCAAGTTTGAAGACCCCTGCCTATGAGGGATGGAACTCAGCAACCGGCCAGATCTGCTCTGCAAGCTTAACATGGAGCCTCTGCCTTGTGGGGTGAGGGAGTGGAACCACAAACCAACAGCCTCGGACCACACCGTTAAGGGCACTTGTTGACAGGAATGGTAGCCCCAAACAGCATAAGTACTTCATAAAGAATACGAGAAATTTGGGAGTTTACCCTATAGGACCATTAAAAATCATTGCAACTTGACTTTTTCAACCCAGAGTCCCTCAATTGTGCTTCACCACCCACATGCTATTCATGATTAGATAGACTAAGATGAGATGTGAACTTTAGAGCACAGACCAAAGATTTTAGATTGAGGGAGTTAGTTTTTAGAACAAACACCAGCAGTTGCCACCCTTTCTTCTATCATCTATTTAGAGCAGGAAAACTTTTTATTTAGGAGCATCTTTGCCATTTAAGGTGTTTTAGTGGTTGTGGTAGGTACAAGTGCCTGAGCATTGGCTGTTTTTCTGCATTTTCCTCTTCTAAAACGGAAATATCAGTCCAGGGATTTTAAGTTCTTTTGCCCACTGCTCCTCTATCGATATTTTAATTTTTTAAAAAAGATTCTTCAGGTAACTTTTATTAGCCCTATTTTCCTGCTGAAAGTATGAATCTATGGGCATAGCCCAGCAGCCAGCCAGCCAGCCATCCCTTGGTGACATAGCTCATTTTCAGCTTACTGATAAGGAAAGAAAGTTTGTTAACTCCACAGGTTGCCTGTTTTCAGGATACACCTCTTTCCATGCAATTGAAGTTGCAACCAATATCAGCCTCTGAGGATGCACAGTGCAGAGTCACAGGTTCTCTAATTTCTAGGCATAAACCAAAGCCAATAAAAGAGGGACAAGACAAGTAATGGCAGAACCAGACTTTACTTGTATTAACCGAGATCAAATCTGATCCCTCCCTTTCCCAGAGTATACTTCTGTCCACCACAAGCTAGTGGATACTTGCATTTCAGAAGTACAAAACCACACACACACACAAAAAAAACCCCTCCAGGGATCCTCCCATGAATTTAATGGCTGGGATCTGCTTAAAGCCGCCTTTGCCACAGCTGTCAGATGAGCCGGGATTACTACTCAGGGGGCTGGGAGTTTCTGCTGGGTGCAGCCCAGGGGCACCAGGTTGAGAAAGGCTGCCTTATAGGGCAGGTTCTCCCACAGGAGAGGATGATGTGCTAGCAAAAAGGAAATAATTATCCCTATCACACCCCCATCCAGGCTTGGCACTGAATCAGGTAGTACTTGTTTCAAGCAAAAAGTTAAGACAAATAGCTCCAAGGATCTGCAGTTGCTCAATACTGGAGCTAAATTTAAATAAATAAATCTCTTATTTAAATAATACCTGAAATAAATAAATCTCAATCTCTTTTTAAGAAGAGATGGAACATCCATTTGTCCGGAATGGTGTAGGATCTCCCGCTTGGGCAGGAGGTTGGACTAGAAGACCTTCAAAATCCCTTTCAACTGTTATTCTGAAAATAAATAATAATGCCCTCCCCCAACTAAAATATTCCTTTCTGCCTGTATAAAGAACACATTGCCTTTAATCTTCTACATCCAGGAGAGCTCTGTCATGGACAAGGGAGGGAGCCCCAAAAGTCATTTCACTCAATTTCAAAATTTCAAAATTCAATTTCACCTTGTTCAGAGCGGGACTGAAGGAATCCAAGAAGCATACATAAATCTGGGAAGATTAGGTCAAACCGAGAACTTTTGAAAGTTCAGCCGCACAATTATATCTTTAAAAACAAACAAACATGCGCAGCAATTCTGCAGGCCGTTCGCCATAGAACCGTTGCGATTCACATTTCTTTTATAGGTATAGGGTAAAACCACACAGAGAAAGAAAACTGGGGAGCAGCAGGATTTGGAGCGTGCATACCCCGAGAGTTGGAATACAAAAACAACACCTCACCATATTTTATCTCTGCAATGCAAACCCAGATTCCCTATTCAGCAGAAAAGCCCCAATCCAGCTGCGTTCCCGGCGGCTTACTTTCGAGTAAGAGCGCCCCTTATTCCAGCCTGGGGCCATTTCTTCACTAGCGGTTTATAACCCAAACAACCCTCGCCGGGTCGTAGAACAGTAAAAAATAAAGCTCTTGCAATTGGCCTTAGCTCCTTTGCTTCGGTTAAGCACAAAAACTATTATTTTTCCAGCGTTTCTTCCCACTCTATTAAATCATTCCTCTCGCAAATCTCACCGCGGCGCGTCAGGGTTGTTGGATCCCTCCCCCACCCTCCGGAGGTTACCAAAACCGGCCCACCGCGGGTTTGCAAGCCCTCGGGCCTAAGGGGCGGGCCGCTTACCTGCAACGGGCTCCATCTCGGTCTGATTCTTGCTGCCTCCTCTCTTGGGTTGCGGGGCCAAGCAGATGCCCTTCCCGCGCAGCAGGGCTTGCAAAGGAGTGCGCTCGCCTGGCCGAGGGACGCAGCGCAGCCCGCCGGCGCAGCTGGGCGTATAGACGCCGCAGGACTCGCCTTCCTCCCGGACTCCACAGGCTTTCTCGTCGTCGCAAGTAGCTTTACGGTCGCTCTCGGGGGAATCGCAGCCGGCCGGAGAAGAAGAAGGGCAAGCGGCCCCGATGTCGCCGTCGGGCTCCGACGCAGCAGCAGCAGCAGAAGCAGCCACGGCCGCCACGCATCCCGTCGTCGGGGCCAGCAAAAGCAGCAGCGCCGTCCCCAGGCAGCGAGCGAGGAGCATCGTGCACCGACGGCCTGAGCGCTCGGAAACAGCGCGCTGCAGCCGAGCGCGTCTTAAATGCCGCGTCCCAGCCCACGGCTCGCCGGCCTCCTTCCGCGCCAGGTGTAGCCAGCCCGGTTGGACAGCCGCCAGCCGGCAGGGTGTGGCTGCCGGCTGCCAAAAGCCGACCGGCGTTTCTCCACCGCTATTCCCTTTACTCCTAGGAAAGGGAGCAATCCGACCAATTCTAACGAGGCGATCCACTCCCATGGAGTTCAATAGCCGAAGTTTTCGGTGGAGGCGCGCGGGGTGGGGCTGAACCGCACGAAGAACGGCCGCCTTATCGTGTGCGTCGTTCCCGGAATATAGTACCGTACTAGGACTTGGTGAACCCAGGTCAGGCTTCGGGGTGATCCGTTGAAAGCAAGGCAGGGGTAGCGGAAAGGACGCCGGTATAAAAGCCGAGAGCCTCGATTCCAAAAACCGTGCCCTCCCGGAGTTGTGGCTTGTGGTGGGAAGTGATTGTGATGCTGTTGTCTCCCCCCCCCCCACAAGCGTGCTTTTTGAAACGTAGAAACCCCTCTTACTCAGCTTTTCGGAACTTGTTAGTTACTGTGATCCCGTTGATCACAGCTAAATGAGTCTATATTGCGACTTTTTCATCCCCTTTGCAAGGACAAGAACACAGCCTGCAGGGCGGTGGGCTTTTATTCATAAGTAAATAAAGGTTAATGCCTGCCCCCCAAAAATTCCTGGCATGGAGAATTTTATTTCAATTGTTTTGTTTTAATTGAAGGGCATTTTAAAAGCTGCTAGCCAGTTTGTTTATCTTGCTGCACCGAAAGATAGCCTATATGCAATGCTTCACCAGTTGGATTTCTTCCTAACACAAAACTTAAAACATTTGAGGGGGGGGGAGGAAGAGCGGAGGGAAGAAGCCTCACCCTGAGCCCCATGTGCTTGTTTGTGGTTTTAGGCACAATTAGTGGGAATAAATTGCTGACACGTTAGCTCCTCTCTCCTTGCAACCAAAGGAACTCATTTTTAGAAACCAATCCCTTTGCTTCTCTACCTTTTATAGCAGCCTGACTTTTTCCTGGCAAGGTGAGGACACAACATCGCTTTCCCTGCATTCAGGAATTTGTGGAAAAGACAGGTGGAAAGCCAGGTTTATGAAAATGGCAACTTAAATCTTTTCTGAGAAAGTGCTGCAAAATGTCAGAATCTTTCAGTAGTACTTTTATAGCAAAGGATTTTAAATTCAGTGGGACTGGAGACAACCTATATGATTTGGTATTGCCATTCTATGGCTCTTTTCACACAGATCCTAGGTTTATGATTGCTGGACATAGATAGCATCGCTATTAATTAAAATCAAATCCACTCTTCATTGACCTGTTAATGTAGCTGTTGTTGGCAGAAATAGGGACATTCTTTGCCACTTCCATGATTTTTTTCTGACTTCCCAGTCTGGTCCCTAGCCCTGGAATTTCCTGATAGTTTTCCACCCCTCTATTAACCAGGTCTGATCTGCTTAATTTTACAAGATCAGCCAAGTTAGTTGCTGCCTTCCAGACTTTCATTTTTTAGGCAAGTGACAAAGTGCTAGTGCCAGACCCTAGCAAAATATTTGCATATCAACTCCAGAGCAATTGGGGGGGGGGGGAGGGCTGTAGGCCAATGCTTTGTTTGGAAGTGTGCCCAGTTGCCCAAGAAATAACCACAAAAGTAAGTTTGGGAGATAGCATCCTACAAGGTCGAGATGTGTAATTCCAGTGTTTCTCCCACCTCCACCACCTTCATCTTCTGGTAAACTGGATAATCATTGCAACCACTTTGTGAACAAGCTTGCCATGAACACAATTTTTGCAACCAGGGCAGCCTCATGCTATTGATGTTCCCTTTCTTCCCCCTGGCTCAAAAGTAAGGTTTATCCATGTTCTAATTATATAATTTGCTTTCTTCAAAAGTCGGGGAATGCAAACCAGGAGTTCATCAACTCTGTCCATTGGGGGGGGGGGGGGAGGCTGCCAAGCAAGCATAGGAGTCTTGCAAAGTCACTTTTCAAAACCAACCCAAGTGATGATATGGTTATTATTATTTTTTTTAACCATGGGCCAAGAAGGGAAATAGCTGGGCAATTGGATTACGCAACCTAGTTTTAACCATTCCAAACATTCTGCTTGGATTGAAAATGAAGACTGGGGGGGGGGGGGAAGCAAGAGAGAAATGAAGACGGCCCATCTCCAAGTCCCAAGGAACAGCGGGAGGAAAACAAACAGGCCTTGGCCAGGAAATTGTTGGCTGATTGCAGGCTTTTTGTTTGTTTATAAATGAAACAGTTCTGAAAATATTCCCAGGGAGTTTAGATTAACTCAAGAGGAAAGGGAGGTACAGAGCAGTTGTTAAACCTAGCTTGAACTACTTTACAGGGTTCTAGTGAGGATAGAATTAAGCTACCAGATCAGACTTGCAAGACCTCAGCCAACCATGAGGGGGTAGGTAAAATGAGATGACTCTCCCCATCCGGTCCTAAACGTATATTTTAGCCTCCTGGGAGAAGGACAAGCTACTTTTAATTAGCTGCTGATGAGGCCACACATCCAAAACTAAGATTTGTTTAGAGATGGTTTATTCAATAAAATGCAACTGGCTAGGTTTATACAACACACTTAAGTTACAAACTACAGCGTCCAAACCACACTGGCTGGGTTTGCGCACAACATATTAAGCCAAAACAAACCACAGTAGGGCGTATTATCTGGCCTGGTGCTTGAAATGGTTGGCATAATCAGATGTGTTATACAAACCAATTTGATAACTAGGCTGACTTCTTTGGTGGCATAGGGAGTTTTGTGAACCAAAACAAGTATACTTACCTTGGGGCTATGTGTAGTTGCAAATCCAAACATCAGGTTAGCTCAGTCAACTGCAGTTTAGTTCCTGTATAACAGGAGGGAAGCTTGGGCGCGCGGGGGGGGGGGGGGGAATGTTACTTCTGGCATCCCATTTACTACCCTGGAGCCCTATTAAAGTAGGGAAGGCTGAAGATTAGGGATTTCTGAGAAATTTTGGGAGAGGTTAGGGAGGGGAAAGGGTGCCATTAAGTTTGCAGAGGCTTACAACTCTAGCTGTGCTCTTTAAAAATTCCAAACTGATTTCCCAGAGGTTTTTCCAAGACAACAGTAAAAAATAAATACAGGTAGTCCTCGATTTATGAATACAATTGGGAACTTGCATAGCTAAGTGAGGCGGCTGTTAAGTGAGACACCCCCAACTTTTTTGCTGTGGTTGTTAAGTGCATTCACAACTTGCTAAGCAAATCCAGTTTCCACTTTGCTTGTTGAAAACCAGCTGGGAAGGTCATAAATGGCAATCAGGACACTGCACCCATCATAAACAGATGCCAGTTGCCAAGTGCCTGAATTCTGATTACATGCCTATGGGACATTGGGACGGTCGTAAGAAGGAGGACCAGATGCAAGACATGTTTTTCAGCACTGTTGTAACTTCGAATGAAGGGTAGTGAGTTTAGGACTACCTGTAACAACCACCTGCAAGGCCTTGCCTTCAACGGTGAAAAAGAGCCAGAATGCACAAGTGTCACCACATCCTCTAAAACTCCTAGCCGAGCCTTGACAGTAAAATGCAGCTGCCCAGACTGGAGGTGACCTGCCTCTTTTGAGCAAAAAATTAGGACAAAGTTATCAAGTTCGGTGCCCTCTTCCTCATCTTGATATGAGGGTTAACAGTTTGCTTAGGCCAGGGGTAGGCAACCTTGGCTCATGACTAGTGGACTTCAACTCCCAGAATTCCTGAGCCAGCATGGCTCATCTTGGAAACCTCTCCTTCCCCTCAGCATGGCTGGCTCAGGAATTCTGGGAGTTGAAGTCCACAAGTCATAAAAGAGCCCAGGTTGCCTACCCCTGGCCTAGGGCCTAGGCCCATCCACTGTTTAAGCCACATTAAATCCGTGTTTCCTAAATCACTATGCTACAACTGCAAGCAAAAATAAGAAAAGGTGCCCTTGAGCATGTGGAAAGCATGTTCAGCCCTCAGAAAGTGGGCCAACTGCCTAGCCAGGTTCTGTGATTTAACCAACCCTTTGATCTATAGACCCCCGCCTAGATGAGATGAAGCTTTACAAGATGGAGATAAAAAAAATTTCTCTATACTGTATCTGTAGCTCAAGAAATTGGGATTTTTGAAAGTTTGGCAATCCTGGTGATCTGTAAATTCTAACTTCAGACAGAAAGGATGCAACAGATAAGCTCCAACATGGGCATGTAGATTCACTAGAAAAAATAATCCAGTGTGTTGTTCCTGAGCCACTGGCAAAGATTTCTGGCTTCCCAAAAATCACTGGAAGAAGCTAACTGAAGACTCAATGCTGCAGATCAAGGCACAGATCCTGCGGCTGGCTCAGACATTACTAGCCTGTTTCTGGACTGGGTCATAGAACATACAGAATCATCATGTGCCTTGTTTGGTTTATGACCAGCTCTTTGAAGGGTTCCAAATTGACTTCTGTCTTGAAATGCCACATTCAGTTAAACTGTTCCAGTGTTTTTCAATCTTGGCAATGTTAAGGAGTGTGGACTTTTAATTCCCACGCTGGCTGGGGCAGCATGGAAGATGAAGTCCATACATCTTAAACTTGCCAAGGTTGAAAAATACCGTAGAGACAGTTTTGCTAGCTGGCTCTGGCCTTGTGGTTCCACAAAAGGGAGCAAACTGCGGCTCTTGCGTAACTTTTAACATGATGTTCTTGAACGAATTGGGCCACCTGGGTTAGGATTTACAAGACTTCATAGCCCTCATTAGAAGATCACCACAAGCTGGGCCAGAAGCAATGCTACACCATAATGTGGCTAGTTTGCTTTCGGCCTAGTAGGCTGTGGAAACTCGGCCAATTCTGGCTTGTGCAATAAACCATATTGGCCTAATGCGATGCATGAATCAAGGTACAATTTGTTCGTTCTGTTCTTCTCCCCATTACTATCTCCTCTAGGAGTACATAA